AAATTTAATTGACAACGTGTAATCTTTCTTCCTTCAGCTAGTATGAATAATATCATATGTTCTGCTAAGTTTAATGTTTTTCTTCCTTATTTCAATACTTAATTTGGAGATTGATTGGAGAAGGTGCATTATTCACATCCATTTGTTATGACAGCTAATCTCCATCCCAGTCTCGCAACATGGTCAAGTTTCTTGCTTTTGGGAAAAGATTGAAGAATGGTTCATAAAGCTGATTTAGTTATTATTGGCATCTGTGTCGGTGTGGCTTTTGGAATTCTCATTGCATCACTTGTGTTTTTTGGAATTCGGTGGTACAAAAGACGTGCTCGTCTTCAGCGCCAAGCAAATGAGAGATGTGTGGCAACTCTTCCAATACGGACAAATGGACTCAATACAAGCGTTGATTTTAGTGCATCTCTGTCAAGTTCTGTTGCTATTAAGACATCAGGATTTCCGGCCACAAATTCACAGCCCAGTTGGTGGAGTCACCCTAGTAAAGATCACTTTGCTTCAGCATCTGGAATACCAAGATACTCTTACAAGTATGTATAAAGTTTAACATCTTTACTGGGGAGACTTTTACCTTGTACGTTCAACAGCTTTTCATGTTATTGTATTCTAAATAGTAACTAATGGAAACTCATCAATCATGGTTCCTCTTCTCAATGTCTATTGATTAGCTACTTGCCTCTTTTTTTTCACCTAATGAACCTATTGGTTTTCAAACATGATATTAATGTGTTAGGAAATCAGGATGTTGAAGAATGTCTTGAATCTGTAATTGGAATTTTTTTTACTTCGCACTGTGAAAATAAGCTTTTTACTGGTTACATTTGTCTCTATGAATTGCCCATTAAATTCTTAACAACTGCCAACTGCTTGAACTGATCTTTTGTGGGACTCCAGGGACATTCAGAAAGCTACCCAAAACTTTACAACCATACTGGGTCAGGGGTCTTTCGGCCCAGTATACAAAGCTACAATGCCTGTTGGTGGAGTGGTTGCTGTGAAAGTTCTTGCTACGGACTCAAAACAAGGAGAAAAGGAGTTCTTTACAGAGGTGTGGATTGCTTGTTAACTTTTTCCCCCGAATATAACACAACTGTGGCTTCCATGTTAAAAGTTCCCTTTTATTTTTGAATTTTATTTCCTGCCTTTAACATACAAATGTTGTTTACATAAATCATTAATTTTGTTCGAGGTATACAATATTTCACATTAGATGCATAAGGGTACCGAAAAGTGGTTTATCAAACTCATGGGTTACTCCACTAATTGTCTTAGAACTTTGGGTTGGATACCTAGATTCTCTTACATGTATTGAGCTAGCTAACCTTTGGTAAATCTATTCCTCACGCATGAATTCAATCGTTTAATTCATGTGTAGACCCTTAAATTGGGCTGTATGTACGGGAGGGTATTTTAAAAATGCAATGCCTAAACGTCAGGTGTAGAAGGACATTCAAGACGGTTATAAAGATTCTGGGTTAACCTACTCATTACCTAACCCATTATCTTAAGGTTTTGGATTAGACACTTAATTTAGTGTTGGCAAGTGTTGATGAACTATATCAAATTTGTACATTGATCCTGAAAAATAGGTTTATCTATCTTATTCTATTATCTTGGCCCCTCTAAGAATTTAGTTCTGCATCTTCCACCTTATTGGGATGGTGGTATCTTAAATGGACCTTTTATCTCGTAGGGCAAAGATGATGTGACCTCACTTTAATGTACTGGATTTACTTGGGACATCTTTAGAGAAAGTTCCTATTTACATAAGATAAGAAAAAGGCCAAATAAATAAATAAATACCATATAGGTTCTGAAAGTCTTTTAGAGGTTCTTCTAAGCATATTGATTTCCAACTCTCAGATAGTACAATAATGCATCTTTACACTCCTCTATTTGTATTTTTCATGAATGTGATTGTTCTGGATCAAGTTTTGATTTAGATTGGTGTTTGTGCAGGTAACACTTCTAGGTAGGCTTCATCATCGGAATTTGGTAAATTTGGTTGGCTATTGTGTGGATAAAGGACATCGCATATTAATCTATGAATTCATGAGTAATGGAAGTTTGGCAAACCTTTTATACAGTAAGTGTATTACTCCCTTTTGTTGATAATATTACTTTTAATGGAGATAACTAGTGATCAGAAACTTCTAGATGTTTTACTCTTCCTAGTTTCCCGCAGGCGTTTATTGTCATACAAGATTGTTTTCCAGGCAGCTAAATTTAGAGGTGTAATTATCATTTGCTGAATAAGAGATATTTTTATTACTGGATAATTCTAAAGGATTCACTTATACTGAACCAAGAAGGTGTTTGCAAAGGTGTGATTTTGATAGATAAATCAAGTAAGCAAAAGAAATAAAAGAGAACTTTGAACCTCGTCAACGAATTCTCATTGCCTTAAAAAATATCCTATTTCTTTCTCTCCCTTCATATTAACCATAATAAGAAGGGGCAGGCTTTAGAGCATTTTTTTTTTAGCTATCATATGACTTAACCTCCAACTTGCCATCATTTCTGCCGCCACTATCAAGAGTTATATCCATCCATGTATATGTTATAAAAACTCAAACTTTTTGCAACTGAACTGCCAATTCCCATTGGATCATCACTTAAAAGGAATCTGGAGTGGATGGTCAGTAAACAGAAAAGAATCTGAATGTTAATTGTCTCTATGGTTATACGTTCAATGGAGCTTCTTGTTGCCCTTCTGTGTGGTTTCTCCATTTTTAACCTTTTGTCGACTAAGAAGAGGTGATGAAATTTCTTCATTCTGCACATGTTCAGGTGAGGAACACACCTTGAGTTGGGAAGATCGGTTGCAAATAGCCCTTGATGTTTCACATGGCGTTGAGTATCTTCATGACGGGGTAGACTTGCTAACCACTTTGCTTGTATTTTCCATGGTTACAAAACTAGTTACTTATTCTTTGTTCACATTTCTTCCAACAGGCGGTTCCCCCAGTGATACATCGTGATTTGAAGTCTGCCAATATATTGCTAGATCATTCTATGAGAGCTAAGGTCAGTGGATCACGTGTTTATATCATGCTAATAGCGAATTAGTTGACAAGTGCAGACATAATTTTGCTGCTATTGATGTCACTAATAAGTTACTTCCTCTGCATATAGGCTGATGTCATTGTCTTTTCGAATATTTACCTCTCCCTTTATAACTAGGTTGCTGATTTTGGGCTGTCAAAAGAAGAGGTATATGATGGCCGCAACTCAGGCCTTAAAGGTACATATGGCTACATCGATCCGGTGTATATATCCACAAGCAAGTTTACGACAAGGAGTGACATATATAGCTTTGGCATTATCCTTTTTGAACTGATCACTGCTATTCATCCACATCAGAACTTAATGGAATACGTAAATCTTGTAAGTTTCAGTCATCCAACACCGATACTTCTCTTTTATGTTTTCGGGTGCAAATTTTACGTTCTCTTATTTGTTCTTGGCTTCTCATCTACAAAGGCAGCTATGAGCTCAGATGGAGTAGACGAGATCCTTGACAAGAAGCTTGTTGGGACATGCAGTCTAGAGCAAGTGAGGAGTCTTGCTGCAATTGCTCATAAATGCATACACAGGACTCCTAGAAAGCGTCCTTCCATGGGTGAAATTTCGCATGCAATACTGAGAATAAGACAGAGGCGCCTTGTCGAAGAAGATACCATGTCCTTTACAGGATACGACAGTTCAAGAATGGCAAGTAGGATAGAAAATCAGCAGGTTGAATTAAGAAACATGGTCAGCATAAATGAGAGAAGCTGAATGACCGTTTATTCACAACGATGAGCACTTTGTCTTTCGTTCCTTGTTTCAACGCTTGAGCTTATTTTTGCAGCATAAAAGATATAGGAAAGTCATCAAAGCATCATGCAGAGTATTGAATCAACAAATTGGCATGGAATTGTGATTTTGGATATGATTTAAGTTATATACCAAACAATGTAAAACTTTTTTATACCATTAACTTAATTTAACGAATCGTAACATGTTTCTTTCTTTCAACATCATTAGTTCATGCTTATTATGATATCGTAAGCTTCATTAGTGGCAGCATTTTGCACTTCCACTAGGATGTACATTGTCGCAGACAAGTTAACCATCATCTTCGCTAGGGGAAGAAATCCTCTGTAATCAGAAAATTAGTTCAGTTTCCTGTTTTTGAATAAGGAGTATGTTACTTCAGCATTTGCAAATAATGGTTTGGTCATCATTATTTGCTAATATTGAACTTCAGTATTTTGAAATAAATAGTGATTAAAAACTTGAAGAGTATTTCAAGTAAGATAATGTTGGAACTTCAGCCTCTTTTTTCAAGTAAAATTTATATTCAAAATCTCAACTTTTAAACATCTTTTTTCAACTTAACTTCAAATACTCTGATGGTAAGCAACCCTCACTTCCAACCAACAGGTTGTGAGTTCGAGTCACCCTAAGAGCAAGGTGGGGAGTTCTTGGTGGGAAGGATGCCGGAGTCTATTTGGAAACAACCTCTCTACCCATAGTAGGGGTAAGGTCTGCGTATACGCTACCCTCCCCAGACCCCACTTGTGAGATTATACTGGGTTGTTGTTGTTGTTATTGTTATTTTCCAAAGGCAGAAAGTCTCGAGTAACCAACGGAAAGTTTAATCTTACCGTTGAAGTTTTGTTACTAGGCTGCCACTCAATTATCAATTTCATTAATTTATTTGGCGATTTTTGGCTAGACTCAATATTTTTAAAATTCATAGTCTAAAACAAGTCATCAATATTTAAAATGATTAATTTTATTTCAAATTATTTCTAGACAAGTAAGTATAATTTTTTATGTCACATAAATGTGGACGGAGAGCATAGTTATTTTACCTTGCACACCGTAATTACATCATTACCAAAATAATATTCAAAAAGGAAAAAGAAAATTTGGCGCAATTTATGGAGTGTCGGTATAGGCACAAATAAGCAACAACTGAAATCTAAAGCAGCCACTTAATTGCAGTAGTTTCAGTCTTTTGCCCAGGGCATCAACTAAGAGATTGTGTTGGGTTAGCTTTGTCTATACATACAAATACATATACGGATCGCCGTCCATCTCTGTGTATTTGTTCCTTCTCGTCGTTCCGGTATGTAGCTGTTATTTTCCAGAACGAAAATAGTACTATTAGTATAAAATTATAGTTGTTTGGACTGAATTTTGTTGTGTGGTTTTAGTAACAGGGAGCTGACACGGTGGAAAATGGTTAGGACTGTGAATAGTCACGATGAAGCACGATTGTGAGTCTTTTCCCCAAGACGGTATGTGTATACGTATACGATACATATGCACATGTATGCATTTGCTCTTGTAATACTGTGCTATTTAGATTTTTTGTATATTTGAGGGTTGCAGCGAAAGTAGAAGGGAAGAAGGCAAATGCTGTTCGTTCCAAGCACTCTGAGGCTGAGCAACGACGAAGGATCAAGATTAACGAGAGGCAAGTTTTCTTTTTTCCTTTTTTGCTTATCAATAAATAAAATTTATTTTTAGTTTTCTATAAAGGATGTCCTTTTAGCTACTTGTATAATAGTAATGTTGTGAGCTATGCTCCCCCTTCCCCGAATACAGTCGAGTAAATTGCTTTGTTGAAGTCACTGAAGTATTGTAGGAGGGGAAGTATTTTCATTTTTGCATATGGTAGGGTGGTGGTTAGCTATTTGTTTCTCAGGCAACTGTTAATTTTATATCTGCGAGCATTGAGTTATCCTGTTATACCTGAGAAGAACATTTGTCAGGGACTTATGCATTAGTTCTCTGTATGTCATCGAGGACTATATAGAAAGTTTGCAGCCATGGTACTTGTAAATAAAATAACAGGGTAGCCGTATATATCTCTGCCCAAACGAATTAATTTGAATATTTAAGCCATTTGTTGGTTGGCTTCCAATCCAGTAAATATGAGAATTAGCCGCGCTTCAATAAACTTTTAAGCTTCTTTAGACAGCCGTCAATGATTACTGCATGGTAGTATGAGTGAAGATATGATCCTTGGGCCTAACTTAACCTCAAAAGCTAGCGAAACCAATTTGTGTTAATTCGGTTGTTCAAAATGTCAACTCATGGGTGAGTTGTTTGTCTTATTCTAATAAGTCCTAACGAAGAGTTATGTTACCATTTTGGTGTCATAATCTAATGATACTGCTTTACATCTAAAATTTAGATGATAGACCTCAATTCTCTCCAAGAGTCTCCTCAAAGTCGATGATTGACTTAACATCAGTTTCACCATTTGAATTGTGTAGATATCCTTGAGTGACTTTACTAGACTTCCAGATCAGTTTTGCTAATAAATGCCTGTAAGCTAAGAAGTGGCTAAAGGATTGCATACAGGCGTACACGCAGCGGAAGATAATAATAATCCTAGACAGATCTTTTCGTGTTTAAAATTTATTTACATATTAAAGATCAAATTTGAGACGTACCTGGTGAAGAGAGTCCCGTTTCAAAAATTATTCGATAGTGCGAAGACTCTATGCGTATCAACACCGAGACCGATCCTTGCTATCAACTCTTTGATCAACGAAACCCGCAAACAAATTGAATAAACTATTGTGCTAAAGTTCTTCTCAAAAACCGTAGCCAACGTGAAAGACCAAGAAACTAAATTTTCTTGTCAAGACTTGACTCTTTCGATATCTCTGTTGGTTTTTCGGCTTCTCCAAGAAGTTGTGTTGGTCACGTTGCTTTAGCTATGTATATATATACGTAAACCCCAACTGTTTTTCCTTAGGTTAAAGAAAAGGAACCGGAAAAAAAAACCAAGTTCTAAATTGGACGTTTACATTATATAGGAAAATACTAATCCCATTACTCATGGGATTCTGATAGCCTACACGTCCTTTATGGACTTTGACGTGAAGATGTTGTCCAATTCTAAATTGGACTTCAAGTAATAATTTATATTAAAATTATCAATCCCATTCTTATGGGGGTGAAATAACCGACGTTGACTTTCACGTCAATCCAATTCTTAATTGTATATCATATATATATATTTAAACCTAGACATATAATTTAATTTTCTATTTCAAAAATAGAAAACTTCAATCTGTTCACAATATTAATTATATCCTCTGTGCTAGCAAAGAATATTATAATATTTCATTTGGACTAACTAACTAAATTTATTTAACTAATTAAATTCTTTAATTTAATTAATAAATAATAAAGTAATTAATCCTTTAGCAAAGATTAGAACACTCGTTAGTGTGCGGCCCCATAAATTCAATACTAAGCCGGTATTAAATTAATTACATTAATAAACTAATCAAGGGTGGCGTCTAGCAACACTCCTTAACGACCGGATAGCTTGAAGTATACAATTTACTCTCAAGAACCAGTAGGAGAATAATGTAGTAATTCCTTCTATCCTTATAGCTCTGGATCACCCTAGGATATGGTTTAACTGTCAAATCCTAATAGCGACCAACTATGTGTTCATGTCAAATATATTCGTCCATTGAATGACCTAAGAAACTCTTTTCTTCTTTCATTCAATTGCCCTGGCCATGGTTTTAATTTGGTCGTTTATAATTCATGACAACATGGAGCTTAAATTCATTACCAAGAGTTGACAGTTTCCATCTTGATCAATCACTAATTCTACAAGTATTTAATCGTACCCAATATCCTTTCAATTATCGTCCTAGGGCCATAGGTATCTGTTATTAAAGCACAACAAATAACTTGGCAATTACTATGACGATCTCAGGTCAAAGGAAACTCTTACATCACATTCTTCAAGAGAATATCCTATTGACAGTTTATGGTAATTCTAATTATTAGGAATTATCCAATGACTCGGTTCAATAATCATATCTCTATATGCATCATCTATCTATGTGATTTAGTTAATGAGATCAACTAATCTTTATCCCATAAAGACAATCACATAAATATTGATCTAACCAGATACTAATGTCCAAATTAATAATCCTACGATCAAGAACGAATTTAGATTAAATTATAAGAGACTTTGCTCTCATTATCATGTTCTCTATCATGGTGACAAATCAAAAATTTAATCAAGGACCTTATCAAATTAATCAAACAATTAATAATAACTATGATAAAAGAATGCCATGTATTTTTATATCAAATAACGTTCACAAAAATATGTTCAAATCATCAAATATGAGATTGGATCAAGGGCATATCTACTATATCCCTAACAATCTCTCACTTGCACTAGAGCCAATCGCTCTTGTACTTCATTCCCAATTTTCACTTTTGCTTGTCAAACTCCTTTGTACCAAGAGCTTTAGTGAATGGGTATGGAGCATTTTCCTTTCCATCAACCTTTTGAGTCTAGACGTCTCCACGTTCAATGATCTCTCTTATCAAGTGATACATTCGCAGAACGTGCTTGGATTTTTGGTGTGATCTTGGTTCTTTTGCTTGAGCAATGGCTCTAGTATTGTCACACAACAGTGGAACCGCACCTTCTATTGAAGGAACCACANACATCAGGACATGTACATGTCATGGTATACATGATAGCTCCCACTGCACTAGCGTATGGGATCCTACTCATGCGTTCTCTCTCTTCAGGTGTTTTAGGACAATCCTCTCTACTGAAAGTAATTCCAGTGCCTATTGGTAGATAGTCTCTTTTGGAATTATCCATATTATACCTCTTTAAGATGGTATCAATGTACAAAGACGGGGAAAGTTCAAGCAGCTTCCTAGATCTATCTCTATAGATCTTTATTCCTAATATATAAGCTGTTTCTCCCAAGTCTTTCATGGAGAACTGTTCAAATAGCCAAATCTTGATACTTTGCAATGTCGGTATGTTATTCCCTATGAATAATATATCATCAACATACAATACTAAGAATATAATTGTGCTCCCACCAACCTTTTTGTACACACAAGGTTCTTCTTCGCATCTAACAAAATTGAACTTTTCAATTGTCTTGTTAAATCGAATATTATAAATTCAAGAAGCTTGCTTTAGTCCATAAATGAATCTTTGTAGCTTACAAATTTTATAATGATCAGACGAATATGTGAAACCTTCAGGTTGTGTCATGTACACATTCTCTTCTAGCTCACCATTAAGGAAAGTTGTTTTCACATCCATTTGCCATATTTCATAATGATAGTATGCTACTATAGCAAGCAAAATCTGAATTGATTTGAGCATTGCCACGGGAGAGAAAGTCTCATCATAGTCGACTCCTTTTTTCTGACGATATCCCTTGTCAACAAGACGGGCTTTGTAGGTCTCTACCTTTCCGTCTGCTCCAATCTTTTTCTTAAAAACCCATTTACAACCTATAGGTTTTATATCCTTTGTAGGTTCAACTAAAGTCCATACTTTATTTTCCTTCATGGATTCCATTTTGGATTCCATGGCCTTTTGCCACTTCTCATAATCGGAACTTTGTATAGCCTCTTCATAGGTCTTAGGGTCATCATCATTATGATCAACCTCATTTGATACATCATCTTGTACCAATAAATTTAATCTAGTTGGTACATGACGTTCTCGTGTAGACCTTCTAAGAGGTACTTGTACAACCTGTTCACCTTGTGCTGGATTTGGTTGTTATTCAATTTGGGTTAGAACTGGTTCATTAACCTGTTCTTGAACTTCATTTAGTTCTTGATTCAACCATTGAAGATGGCAACTTCCTTGACAACTTCAAAACATCTAATAAATGTTCTTCAATTTATGTCTCATGATCTTTATATTGTGTTGATTCATTAGTTTCTTGAACTTCATCAAGTTCTATTTCTCCACTATAATTTCCTTCCAAAAGAAATTTTCTTTCCAAAAAGGTTGTTCCTCTAGCCACAAAAACACTTTATGGTTAGAAAGGTAATAGAAATACTATCCCATTATTTCTTTGGGATACCCAATGAACCTACACTTATCAGATCTTGAGTCAAGTTTATCAGACTGCAATCTCTTAACATAAGCTGGACAACCCCAAACTTTAATGTGTTTAAAGTTAGGCTTACATCCTTTCCATATTTCATATGGTGTCGTAGAGACTGACTTAGTGGGAACTTTATTAAGTAAGTATGTTGCTGCTTCCAAAGCATATCCCCATAAATTTATTGGAAGATCAGTGAACCCCATCATAGATCTCACCATATCTAATAAGGTTCGATTTCTCCTTTCAGACACACCATTGTGTTGTGGTGTTCCTGGAGGTGTCCACTGTGAGAGAATCCCATTCTCTTTGAGATATCTGGTAAAATCTTCACTAAGATATTCTCCACCTCTATCAGACCTTAGTACTTTGATACTTTTACCAGTCTGTTTCTCAACTTTACTACGAAACCTTTTGAACATTTCAAAAGATTCAGATTTGTGTTTCATAAGATACGCAAATCCATATCTTGACATATCATCAGTGAAGGTGATGAAGTAAGAATATCCACCTCTAGCTTGAATTTTCATGGGCCCACAAACATCTGTATGAATTAGT